CTAGAGATGCTGGTGCCGGACTAGCGGGTAGGAGATTGAAGGTAATGACGGATGGATAGCGTGATCTCGACGATGGAGAGCGAGCGTATAGAGTGTAGGAATACCAGACGGTGAGTTAGTGACTGGCGAGACGAGCGAGGCTTTGGTAGCGCGATGAGAAGGCCATGTGAGGTGCATGTTACATAATTGCCGAGTTATGGTAGTGGTAGAGCGGGAGTGAAACGGCCGTCTAAGGCGAGTCAGGGATGGGTTATGCGGTGCAAGGTTGCTTGACTCGTTCACTCGAAGGGATGGCGATGTGCGTAGTACTGACCGGCGATGACAGGGTGTGTGGTCAACATTCTATAAGTGAGCGGGCGGGGGCGTCAATGGCAGCAGATCTTGGATTAGTCGGTGTGAGTCACAATTAGCGCTGGGTGAGGTCAGGGAGTCAGGATTCTCCTAGCTGGACAAGGGTGCGACAGGTGCGAGCTTATGATGTACTGAGTGAGGCTTCGGAGGTGAGCGCCGACATCAGTACAATGGATTTGTTCTCCGCGGAGTAGGTATGGACAGGATAGATGCAGGGCTGGGGACAGGGAGTAGTGCGCGGAGGTGGGCTCGAGGCTCGTGTGGATTGGGAGATTGGGTTGGGAGATGAGGTGGCGTGGTAGGAGAGGGGTAGTTGGAGACTGGGCGGGATCTGTAGCGATGGATATTTGACCACCGGCGTGGGTGCGGTACTAGCACTGTCTGGAATGTATATGTCGTGTGGAGGTGTTGTTTGTTTGGAGACGAAGGATTTATAACTATAGGAATGTTGCTATGGGCCTATGTAGAGAGTGGCCTATGGTGGTCAGTGAGCTAGGGTTGAGGGTGATGTTCCGATGGACGAGGATGCGATGTGTAACGTGCTACGATCGTATGGTTGGACGAAGTGGTATTGGCGCCTGACGGTATCGTCCTAAGAGGTCGGGTCGTGATGTCGTTGAGGCATCCGGCAAGGTTGTTGTCGTATAAAGTAGGCCGCCGCGTCGATGTGGGACTTAGTTTGGGCGATCGGTAAGGTTTGGTGGAGATCAGGTGACGACCCGTGCGTGATACTGAGGAGTGTGTGGTCAGTGATGTGGCGTGTCCGCAGTTATTGTGCGTTAAGAGTCGGCTGGAGGTGTCCTCAGCTCGGGAGACCAGATCCTATGTCGGCAGAGATACGTGGTGGGTGTGACGAAGTACCAGGTTAGGAAGGTAGCGTGCGCGTCTAGGAGGGGTGTGGTTTTCGACAGCTAGTGGTACAGTGGCGGGATAGCTGGAGTGTGATGTACGCTCGTAGACGGAGAAGGGTAGACGACGCGTGGATGAGAGGTTGACAGAGAGTAGCAGTGTGTAAGGATGCCAGGACGGATGGTTAGTCGTGAGAAGCAAAGTGAAGCTATACGATGCCGGATGCTATGTGTGCGCGGATGGAATATACCATGTCTCACCTGGGTATGAGAAGTGGCATGAATGTGAGTCCTCGGCTCGGAGTTCTAGTCGGCAGGGTACGTGATCGATGTTGAGAGGCGCGGAAATAGGCTTATCTGTAATTTATAATAATAGCAGTATCATAATTGTACTTCCACGCAGTAAAAATATATAACAGAATTCAAATTACTATCTAATAATATTTTGTTATGCACTAATACATTGTCATCATCGTAAGTAAGGGGCTAGTTCAGGTGATGATAGGTAAGTATGTATAGTGAACAGAGTACGTGATACCAGAGGTCAAGTATAGATAGATAATACGATTTTTTTCTGTGGAGTGCGGTGTAGCTTTTGTGTTTGTGTGCGTGAGAGCAAAGATCTGTTCCATCAAAAGGCGCTTCTGACTATAAATCACCTGGTGCTCTTTCGTCAAAATGTATCTCGTAACTTTTATCGACAGCCAAATCAAGCCAGTGACTAAGGTTTTAACATCGCATATAACTCGTATATATGTTGTCGTGTTAATGTATGTAAGTTGATATTAACCTTCCATGACACACTTCTAGAGATATAAAAATAAAACATTAACGGGGAAAAATGTTAGTGTAATCGAATGAAGAATGTCTTATTTTCTCATTCTCTCTGTTTTTCATTCTCCCTCTCAGATTTTAATTCTCTCCTATTCTCTCTTTTTTCTTTATCTTTTTTCTCTCTGAAGTTATAGAATAATCAATATATATATATATATATATATATATACACCACACACATACACACCACACACACACACACACACACACAACATACACACACACACACACACACACACACACACACACACATATATATTATATATATATATATATATTATAATATATATATATATAAATATATATACAGGGCGACCGTCAGGCGGCCAGGACCCCGGGGCAAAGAACAGGGCGGGCACTCAGGGCCACTCCTTTTTAGATGGGAAATGCCTTTTTCAAATTGAAAACGTCCATTTTCCCTTAAAATTGTTAACGTTAACAGCTGTAACATTGTTTTAGTATAAATACACCCTATAAAGTTAATTGTTCTTGGGCTCAAATAAGCGACTTCTGTAAAATTTTACGGGCCTGTATATATATATATATATATATATATATATATATATATATATATATATATATATATATATGTGTGTGTGTGTGTGTGTGTGTGTGTGTGTGTGTGTGTGTGTGTGTGTGTGTGGACACACATCTATATATACATACATCGTACATATATAACACATATATAACAATATATAAATGTATATATATATACACATATACATATATACATACATACATATATATATATATATATATAATATATATATATATATATATATAATCTATGTTTATATGTGTGTGTTTGAATTTGTGGCTGTGTATGTGTGTGTATGCGTGTGTGTATTTATTAATGTTACATAAATAGCTATCTCACTAACTGTACAATTATTCTATAATTTTAGATAATTGAAAAACGAGCAGATAACAGGTGTTTCTCTCTCTACTATTATCGTGATTTAATCCCAAGAACTTAACATTTTATTGGTAACAAATTTGGAAATGCATATATCAAGTGAGGTAATTATGGTATTTGCGATAGAAATTTTAAACTTAACATACGAGGTTTCATACTAATTTGATATAAGATGTAAAAAAATGACGATATCATTACATTCCTACAATAATAATAACAGCTAAAGTTTTTGAATCAACAAATAAGTGAATGGCATTACACTTTTCAAAAACTCATTCTATGAAACCCTAATGTTGGTGCTTCTGTATTTCAACATATGGATGATATTTATTGTTGATGTAAAGCAAAACCCTCTATCTTGTTGGTGCCATGGTACGAAATCCACTACACACAAACCAGATAAACTACTGAAAAGTTTAAATACAGTTACGAAAGCCTTGATTTTACCTTTAAGCCTGAAGATGTTTCTAGTTTGCGTAACAATCACTGTGGGTCTGTTTCCTATGATTCTGGAGCATTTCCCTTTCTGAATAAATGTTTTCTAGGAAACTCCATGGATAATATCACCGCATGTGATCAAATACAGATGGAACGAAACTGGAACCATCACCTAGATGAGTATGACTGTCACTGATTCCACCAATCACGCAGGTGTTCTTTGAAAGGAGATATGACCAATTCTTCAAGTACGACACGGGTTTTTAATTTGCCTTATATAAATCCAGTTGAAACAAATGACAAATGCGTTATAGAGAGAAATAATTGATTAACTGTCCTCGACGGTTTTTGGTTTTATTGCATTACTTTGACAATACTAAACAGCATCTAGAAGACAATGTGTATGAATAACGCATTCTACTACACAGCCATGCATTCGTACTAACAACTGCACATACAGACGCAAAAGAAGAATATATATATATATATATATATATATATATATATATATATATATATATATATATATATATATATATATATATATATATATATATATATATATATATATATATATATATATATATATATATCCGCCAAAGAGGGCATGTTTCTGGTAGATTCTATTACGTGTTTAAGGTGATCCGGATCCAGAAATATTTTGAATGATTTCATCAGTAACTACTATTATCATTACTTTTATCACCTCTACCAAGGATGCTATATTTACAGACTTCACCAGTGTACTTGTGAAAGGTGATTTTGATGTAATTCTTCAATTGTTAATATTTTCATTGTATCGGAGGTATACGCTCTTCAAATCATGACGGCATATAACAGTAATGCATAACTCATTTTGCTTCCCTATGTTCTCTGACCATATCTATCTTCCCCCTCCTTCCTCTCTCTTGCTTCCTACCTCCCTTTCTTACTCCCTTCCCTCCAGTCCCCACTCTCCTTCACCCCACACTCCCCATGAGACGTTCCCTCTTTGTCTACCCCAATTCTCTATCATTTCTTCTGTAACTCTTACGCACTAAGTCATGTGCACCAGGATTACATGTCTCTTTGTTCATAAATAAAAAGTACAATATTGTATTACATATACATTGAATATATATATATATATATATATATATATATATATATATATATATATATATATATATATATATATATATCGCATTTAAAACGTTGAATGTTAGTAATGGTGTTGTTGACATTCTGCATATCACCCCATTACCATTTCCTGTTTCCAACATCAATGGTATTATTTACTAAAGAGTGTAACATTGATAATGATTTCAACGTGATTTCAGCCTTATACTTTACGGGTAACATATATTTACGATGTTAGATCTTGGAGACTCTTATCCAATCACTGGTTTGATTAGGCTGCCAAACAACGGTGAAGAGCGTTGGATGTGTATTTAGAAGGGTCCCTGCCTGTATCATTCATATTAAACACTCTTTAGAATTGGGAAAAAAAACACTGATTATGTTTTGCTCTTCATCTTACAGTGACTGGACTTACCCTTCGACGTGCAGCCTCACGAGTACTATACATTAACATCGACGTTTATACTTATACTGTATTATGTAAACCACTCCTCAACGAGAACAGTGATTCTCTTTATAATGCTGTAGTCTACACCAGTTCAACAACGGCTTTCATCGAGTATATCATCACCAAGTTGATGAGATTTTTCGAGCACAAGGAACCAAGGGAACACAGATTGTATATTCGATTAAACATTATGAATTTTATTGAGACTTTTTAATGCGACGATTATCTTTTTTGTCAATATAAAGAGTAACATAGAATTAAGTAAGAACAGTGTAGTGGAAGAACAATATCTGGTATATAATGAATATTGATATTAATATAGTAATAAAAACGATTTGGATAACAAGACTAGTTTAATCACTGAGTAATCTAGGCCAAAGAAAGAAAGGGAAGAAAACAGTACAAAGAAAAAAAAAACATTGAACATAAGGAGAGCAAGACTATCATAAACCTTTAGTTATTGTAGGTAAAGTGGATGATGATATCGAATATGATAAACATATTGACGACTACAATTATGATGAAAGCAGTACCGAACAAATTTAAGAGATACAATAACAAATAATGTTTAGAATTTTAACAGATATAAAAATAACAATGCATAATAATAGTGATAATGATGCGGCAATAACAAAATTTATGTTACATTAAGACGATGATATTCATGATGACAGTAATGTTTATGGAGTCCCAGTGATGTGGATGATGTTGATAATAGTAGCAATAACAATTGAAATGGAAATTATAAATATTTCTAGAAAAAAATAATGATATCTTTCCTTTTTTAATACGCATGGAATTCCAAGCTAATAATGCAAGTAGAATTGATGTTTTTAAAACTATTACAAACAATACCAGCAACATCAGTGAGAAATTAGCAATAATCTCAGTGATAATAAATACAATTTAATCAGTGGTGATAATGGTTTTGATGATTAACAAAGATGATAATATTAATAACAGCAAGGTTAACGATAAGAATAATCATATTGATAAATCTAATATGAAGAACATTATAGAGAATAAAGAGAGATAATTATGGTAATCATTACAATGTTGCAAGTAACTGTAATGATATTAAATTGAAGGAAGGTGTGATATCGGTAGACAAAAGATAGACGTGGATAAATATTTGTTGCTTGGTAGACAACGGAATTGGGAAATTGGATTAATTCTGAAACAGGATATTTTCAATAATGGTTAATTAACAAATAAATCATCTTAACCATAAACCGACAGAGTAACTGACGCTGATACATAACATATAAATGTATTCAGTCTTTCAACATATATTCAAGATTCTACATCAAATATTTTTTTTTTGGTTTTCTTTTTTTATATCATTAACTTTCTATCGGTTCAGTGCGCTTGTGTCGAGTGTTTCAATCGTAATATTTCACTGTTTAATCCTGAGACATATCTGAAGGTTGGACAGATCGATAGTCTACTCGCCAAAGGAGCAAATACTTGCTCCTTCTTGCATAAGATATAAGCCAGATCATTGAGCATTCTATGCGATGCTCAATGCCATTTCCCACCAGTGAATGGGAAGCCAAGATATCAGTACCAGATACCTATTAATACATGAGTACTGGCGAAATACAAAATTTCCTGTGTATTGCATTTCGCTGCTGTGTGACTTCACATACTTCGTCGCCCATTGAAGTACTCAATTTCCCTCCATATCGAGCGGGTTGATCAAAAGTAAAATATTCTGGCATCTCATAAGGTAGTGTCAATAAAATGTCAACACTCATAAAAATTACATCAAAGAGGATCTGGATTTCATCACATACCATAACTCCTAGCTAGCCTAAGACTTCGCTAGTGCCTAGGAAAAGGAAGGACAGTAAGTGAAAGACAGAACATGTGTGCCACGTGCCGACTGCGCCACACGTGTGCGATATCTACCTAATAATGGCAACAGTATGAGCTTCTCGTGTGTACATAAATTCAACGAAGCGTGTTTTTGCCGAGTGTGATGGGAATCAGATTACAGACAAACGCTTATCTTCCCTACAGGTGTGGAAAGCAAGGATAGGCTGTATACCACGCCACCAATTTACCTAGTTTTATTTTCATATCATACTAGGAAGGTTATGGAAAATCTAGATGAGAGCAACCTGTTTAGAATACTTTTGGAAATGGTGAAGAGCCCTTATGCTACAGGGGCACAGAGATATCTAAATTTGGTTTTCCCATAACTGTTAGACCTTTTTTACGAGGATGTTATCATCTAAGGGACTGTTTTTTTTCACGCATTTCTCTTGCACAATATTGAGATAGCCTTACATGGCTGGAGGACTTTTTGTTGCATCCGGATATACCAAACCATTAGATACATTGATTGATGTTGGCTCAAGGTCGTAACAAAACACAGCACCATCAAAATTTGTTCTGAGATACATTTTTACAAAAGATATTTTTCTGCATTTTACATATATTGACAACAGAAAATCATGATGCTACTTGATACGCAAACTAGAACTCATAAAGCGCATACCTCCGCAAAGGTAATAGGAAAATGATTTCTCAAGCACCAA